ATAATAATAAAGCTTAGGTAGGAAAAGCAATTTCCAAAGGTATAAAGAAATATCAAAATACCAAATGTTTTATTTGTGGCAGAATAGGATGCCTGAAAAGGGATTGTAGACAAGGCATTTCTAAAAATAATGTTTCCCCTGGGAATAACAAAAATAGAAGGTGTCAATCTCCTCGATTATGTAGAGGATGTGGCAAAGGCCAACATTGTACCAATGAATTTAGACCAAAGAGAGACAAACAAGGCAGCTTGTTAGCATTAGGAAGCTCTGTAGGGACCTCTCACAGGCCCCCAAGTCAAACATTATCCAATCACTCCCAATCACTGTGGATGACACAACTCCCCAAGAAAAAATTTAAAAATCCAGTGCCTGTTGTTTAAAAAAAAAGCAAACATACAGTTCTAGATGATAGAATGAACATGGAAGATGAATGAAATATTCAAATAGAAAATAGGAAACATATTTTTGACAGACTTCTATAAATGATCAAAGACCAAAGCTGAGAGTACAAATAAATAACATTGTGATTGAAGTATTACTGAACACAAGTCCAGATATGACTATTGTTAAACCAGAATGTGGGCATCAAAATTGGCCCCTTCAGAAGATCAATGTTTAATTCCTAGGAATCGGAACCCTAGCTCAAGTAAAACAAAGCATGAGATGGCTGGAATGTATCAGACCAGAAGGACAGAGAGAAAGGCTGAGGCCATATGTGACTAATATAGCAGTGACTCTATGGGGTCATGATCTCTTGCAGAAATGGAATACTCAGACTAACATTTCTGCAGTCTCAGAAATAGAACATAAACAAACTCATGTTTCTGGAAAGGATATTATAAGGTACTATAAAAACAGTCACCAAACATTCAGGCTGTACAAAAAGACAATATATCTAGCAAACCTTCAGAGGTACCAACAGCCCTTCCTTTAAAGTGGTTAACAAAAGAATGAATGTGGGATAAACAATGGCCTTTACCAGAAGAGAAACTTCAGGATTTAGAATAGCTGGTACAGGGACAGATAGATGCTCTCCATATTAAAGAATCAACCAGCCCTTTTAATTCTCCTGTATTTGTTGTTAAAACAAAATCTGGAAAATGGAGAATGGTGACAGATCTAAGAGCTGTTAATAAGGTGGTTCAACCTATGGGCTCTCTATAATCTGGAATTCCTTTGTCTTCCATATTGCCTAAAGGATGACCTCTTATAGTTATTTATTTAAAAGATTGTTTCTTCACTATATTTATATAAGAAAAAGACAGAGAAAAATTTGCCTTCAAATGGTACCTACGTAGAATAGTTCTCAGTCTACTAAGAGATATCAATAGAGGGTCCTACCACTGTCAATGTTAAATAACCCCACCCTGTGCCAATATTTTCTAAGATAGCCATTGGAAATAATACATAAACGTATAGTTTACCATTACTTGGATGACATTTTACTATCTGATTCAAATGTATATAATTTAGAAAAAATGTTTGAAGAAGTAAAGAAAACTTTTCCTAGTTAGGGATTACAAATTGCTCTCGAAAAAAATAATACAGAGAGGAGATTCTATTATCCAGGTTATAAAAATAAGTTTACAGAAAATTAGAACACAAAAAGTGAAAAATAGGAGAAATCAATTGAAGATTCCTGATGACTTTTAAAGATTGCTAGGAGACATTTTCAATCTATGACCCACTTCTGGGATAACACCTGATCTAATAATTCATTTAAACAAAATCTTAGTTGGTGACAAAGGTTTAAATAGTCCCAGAGAATTAAGAGCTAAAGCAGAGAAAGAATTGACTTTGATTGAAGAGAAATTAGAGGAGGCACATGTGAATTGTGTATATCTGAATCTTAACTGCATTCTAGTGCATATTAGCCTCCAAATATTCCCCTACAGGAATTGTAATGCAGAGAGAAGATATTGCCTTAGAATAAATCTTTTTTTTCTAACTTGGTCTAACCTCTTACAGATCATTGGCTAACAGTGGTTCCCCATCAGTTTGTGCAGGTTATAATTCTAATATTTATGTATGTTTTGCCTCTTCTTTTCCCTGGATAATATTTAATATTTGTTCTTATTGTATATAGTATTATATTAGGCTTAGAACTCTCTTATTTAGACAAAATGGGGAGATGCTGTGGGAACTCTTTCAGCCAGTAGCCTTTAAGATATTAGCCTACTTTGGGCATGGTCTCATGTATTTAAATGCAGACAAGAAGCATGCACAAGCCTCTTGACTGCTGAATTTGGTTCCAGTTCCCAGCAGATCCCAGCGGAGGACGGTGGATTGCTACTATTTCAGTGAGTTTATCTCCAGATAAATAAACCTTTATTATACTCCATTCCAGACTAGTGTGGAACTGTTTTATACACCAGTATGTTGTGTTAAAGTGTTATTGAGACACTGTAGAATGCTGGTGGTTTCTAATCCTATTAGTAGCTTTGATGGTCCAGTTTCCCTTTGTGTCTCTCCACTGGCCAAAAGAATGTCATCATTAAGACTCAATCTTTGTAACAGACACATCATGACTAAAACTCACAAAACCATCTTACATCAACACAGATGCCTAGAAGAGATCTCAGCTTCTTGACTCACAAGAGATGCTTTCAGGAAACATTCCAGAGGATTTCCTGGCTACTTCACATGAATCCACACATGGTTTAGGAGAATGCAGAGATTACACAGCCTTTAGCAACTGTATTTGAGTCAGGCTCCAGGCTCATCCACAACATACTTGAGAGAGCCAAGCTTGTTGTGTCTGGGGTTCACCACAGGTCATCACTACCGTTTGGCATCGAGAGGCATCTGTCTGGACCAGCTGCTCTTTCTTTTTGCCTGTTCCACATGCTATGCCTTTGTGCATTCTCTGCTAGGGAACTAGTCCCTAATGTGGTTGTGTTGAGATGTGGCAGAGCCCTTGGGAGCTGGAAACTAGTAAGAGGCCCTGGGACTTCAGAGCAGATTCACATTATAGGTTAATGCTAGTCTCACAGAGAGGTCTGGACTCTCAGAAAGTAGATTATTATGAAACAAGGCCCACTTGACATGGTTAGCATCTACTGCATGTAACAGGTTTTCCTGTCCTGTATTGTATTGTGACACACAAGAAGGGTTCTTATCAAAGGTTGGAAGACTTGAAGTCTTGATATTAGGCTGCCACATAGGATGATTATGAGCTGGACAAGCCTTTAATTTATAAAGAACTTAGCCCCTGGACTTTTGTGGCAGCAACAGAAAACAGGTGAAGACATGAGGAGACTTTTTCTTGCCTGCTTAGTTAAATCACTTCAGTTCTTACTATCCTTGGCATATGTTGAGCCGGCTCATCCCCATGACCTGAAGATTCAGTGCCTGCCTCTCCCCTGTCACACTGTGACCTCATCCACCTGGCTCCACTCTTCCCCTAGCACCAGCTACTGCTCAGGAATGGCTTCTTTTCCATACCTGTCATCGTTCTGGAAAGTTGTTGTGATTTGTTGAAGTCCTGCCTGTTTGAACTCTCAACATATCTTAAAATTCCTATTGCTTTGCTTATATCCAATATCACTCGGGTGAGCAATTAACTTGCCAAATTTTTATGAGTTTATTCTGTATCTGCAAACAGACTCTCAGCTCTTGAGGGCCAAGGAAGGCAGCTCAGCTCCCTGACATTGGCACATACATTAGATCGTGGTCTGAACAGTTTTTTAAAGAACTACATAGAGGGTAGGAATTCCCTGACCAGTGCACATCACCTAGCCCCTGGGAACCTTGTATGCACATGACATGATGACTGTCCCTACAGGGAAAAGATGTAGCATGTTGTGCTATCATGACAGGATGTCACCAAACCTCACTGTAAGTTCTAGAGGTAAGGGTGCTGGGGGAAGTGCCACTTTCTTCAGTGATGTAGCTGTTCATAAGTTGTTCACATGACAGTAAATAGCTCCTACATCCATACTTACTCAAACAATCATAATTACCTCCAAGTAGGAATGACCTTTAGACACAGAGAGATGGACAGCAGAATGAGAAAGGGAGAAATATTTTCAAAGAACAAAATTAATCCCTGCACTCAGAACACAGAGGCAGTTGGATCTCTGTGAGTTTGAGGCCATCTACAGAGTGAGGTCCAGGAGAGCCGGGACCGTTTCACAGAGAAACACTGTCTCAAAAAACAAAACAAAGCAAAATTTAAAAAAATGAAAAACATATGATGTTAACTTGACCTTTCCAACATGTGGGAAGCACATTTTTAAAACCTTTGTGACCAGGTGTAACACATATCTGTCAATCCAGCATTTGAGATGTTAACTTGGAAGGATCATCAGCCTGAGCAAAGGAGGATGACCTTGTCTCAAAAACAAATTTTTTAAAAAACAAATGCATACACCATGGGTTCAGGTGGGTGATATACTAAAAACCAAGAGATAACAGGAAGTTGGGATTGTTGCCAATATATCAGCTCTCTAAACAGGAAATGAGGCCAAAGAGGCTAATCAATTACTAATAAACAAGTTGTAACTGAACATGAAATCTCACTCGTGAAGCCTGGTAAAGATGGTGCCAGGGTTGTCTCTTTGGATGGTCCTTGGGTTTATAACTGATAAGCTCTCCCTACCTATGTCAGCTCCTGACCTGCCTCTCCTCCCCTTTGTTTCAGAATACAGCAAGCTAATCTCTTGTGCTGCCAGTAGCAAACCTTATTTGTGGATGCCTCTGACATTTTTTTCTTTTGGAAAAAGATGCACCAAATCAAAAATTGTATCCCTTGGCCCATACCTGGATACCCAGACACCTTTCACACTCCAAGCATAGTGTCCCACAGAATTCCAAAACAGTGAGGACACACCTGTTGATCTGAGCACCATCTGTCACCAATCAGCACCTCACCTTTCACTCAGTAACCTTCCAACATGAACCTATGACCTGGAAGGAGTCATTTGCTTCAACCAATGAGTGATCCCCAGGAGCAAACATGGGGCTAATCCCATAAGGCACAGGCCCTGTGTGTGTCTTACCTGAATAAAGGAGTTGAGGAGGCCTCCTCTGTCCATCTGTAGCAGGTTTCCCAAGAGGGGCAGGGGTCGGGGTCCTGGTGGAAGGTGGCCATGGGCCTTTGGATGGCCCCTGACCAGAAGTAGCAAGAAGCCCGCGAGAAGAGCAAGGAGGAGCAGGACACTGGGCTCCATGGTCCTGGTCTGAGCACCATCCACTTCACTGCACACTCCAGTGGGACTTTTATGCTGGACCTGCATCTCCACCCAGTTGAGCAACTTCAGCTGTTCCTGCCTCCTGTTTCATCACTGTCCAGGAGTGTGAGCTCCTGATTGGGCTGTCAGTGAACTACTCACTCCCCATCTCCTTACCCACACCCTAACCCTAGGACACCATGAAACAGATACACAGGACAAAGGGCATAGGGAGTAATGCATCTCGATTTCTGGCGGTGAGTATTTACTCAGGCATGGACCTGTGTATGTGTACTGTGTGCTTTATATATAAAAGGTCACTTCTAATATGAATGTGCAGCTGTGTTTGAGTCTAGATGTGCTTGCTAGTCTCTTGAATGCCCGGGGTTTGTTTTCATGTATGATCTTCAATTGTGGAGACCTTTCTTTATGTTCTCAGCTTTATATGTGAATGTGTTCACATTTAAATGAGAAGAATGGTGTTGCATGGTCCTGTGCATACTTCTGTGTGTCTCTGCAGTCCCCAGCCCGAGTCTTTGAGGGGCTGCAGATGTGATTTCTCCAGAGTCTCCATTGCATTCTCTGGCCTGTGACAGCCACAGATGTGAGAAAAAGGAGAGGGAAGAAAAGGCAAGAGATTCAGGAGTGGGAAGGTTCGGGAATGAGAAAGAAAGAGAGGCTGAAACCTGGCAGAGGAGCAGCTGGGGTCCATGGGTATATGGGCTGGCTAATTTTATGTCAACTTGATACAAGCTAGCATCATTTGAGAGGAAGGAACTTGAACTGAGAAGATATGCTTATTAAACCACATTGCGAGCAAGCCTGTAAGGCATTTTCTTAATTAGTGATTGATGGGGAGGGGCCAGTCCACTGTAGGTGCTGCCACCCCTGAGCTGGTGGTCCTGGGTTCTATAAGAAGGTGGCCTGAACAAGTCCTGAGGAGCACGGCAGTAAAGAGTAACCCTCCGATGGTCTCTGTGTCAGCTCCTGCCTCCAGGCTCCAGCCCTTACCTCTGATGATGAACTGTGAAGTGGGAATGAAAATAAAATAAACCCTTTCCTCCTCGTGTGACTTCCAGTCATGGTGTTTTGTCACAGAAATCGAAACCCTAACTAAAAGAGTCTCTCATCTCTGTGACTAATGACAAATGCTTCCTTTTGTCCTCCTGGCTGTCTTCATAGGACATGAAGCTCTCTGACTCTCTCTCTCTCTCTCTTGCTATCTCTCTTTGACACTGTCCCTGTCCTCCCACCCCGTAGACTGTATGCTTCAAGATGCAGAGACAGCTTTTTCACAACGGGTTTGCCATCAGAACGCAGGTGTTGTAAAAACCACCACTAATTCAAAGCCAAAATGGGAAAGGAAAAGACTCACATCATCATCGTCATCATTGGACATGTCGATTCAAGCAAGTCCACTACAACAGGCCACCGAATCTACAAGTGTGGTGTAATCAACAAACGATCCATCGAGAAGTTTGAGAAGGAGGCTGCCAAGATGGGAAAAGGCTCCTTCAAGTATGCCTGGGTCTTGGACAAACTGAAAGCTGAGCGTAAGCGTGGTATCACTATTGACATCTCCCTGCGGGAGATGTTTGAGACCAGCAAGTACTATGTGACTATCATTGATGCCCCAGGACACAGAGACTTCATCAAACACATGATTACAGGCACATCACAGGCTGACTGTGCTGTCCTGATTGTTGCTGCTGGTGTTGGTGAATTCTAAGCTGGTTTTTCCAAGAATGGGCAGACCGGTGAGCATGCACTTCTGGCATACACCCTAGGTGTGAAACAGCTAATTGTTGGTATCAACAAAATGGATTCCACCGAGCCACCCTACAGCCAGAATACATACGAGGAACTTGTTAAGGAAGTCAGCACCTGCATTAAGAAAATTGACTACAAGCCTGACACAGTAGCATGTGTGCCAATTCTGGTTGGAATGGTGACAACACACTAGAGCCAAGTGCTAATATGCCTTGGTTCAGGGGATGCAAAGTCACTCGCAAAGATGATAGTACCAATGTGACCACCCTGTTGGAAGCGTTGGATTGTATCCTGCCACCAGCTCGTCCAACTGACAAGCCTCTGCAACTGCCCCTGCAGGACGTCTATAAAATTGGTGGCATTGGGACTGTCCCTGTGGGCCAAGTGGAGACCAGTGTTTTAAAACCTGGCATGGTGGTGACCTTTGCTCCAGTCAGTGTGACAGCAGAGGTAAAGTCTGTTGAAATGCACCGTGAAGCTTTGAGTGAAGCTCGTGTCTGTCACACGACCCTCCCCTCCCCCCAAGTTCACCCTTTTGTCTGTGGGGTCCTTGGACTACCAGGAGTCCCTGTTCCTGTGCGGAGAAGATCAATCCAGACTGGTGAGTGTGTGCTATGGGGGGGGGGCGGTCCAGGAAGGGAACACATGGCCCTTGCAGCTCCTGCTGTGGGGGCTTCTTTGTTCCACACCACCCTGCTTCCCCCAAGCTTGCCCTATTGTCTGTGAGATCCTTGGGCCCAGGAACAGTTCCTGCTCCTGTACTGAGGCTTTCCACCCAGAGAGGTGATTGTCTGCCCACTGGGCAGGAAGGTCCTGGGAAAGGGAGTGCAAGGCACCTCCTGCTCCTATTGCAAGGGCTTCTTTGTTCCACAGGACCCTGCCCTCCTCCAAGCCTGCCCTATTGTCTGTGGAGGCCTGGGGGGGGGGGAGGCTGGGAAGGGAGCACAGGGTGCCTCCAGGTCCTGCTGCAGGAGCTTCTTTGTTCCACACGACCCTGCATGGCACAAAGTAGCTGTGATGGCACATGCCTACAATCCTGTCACTCTGGAAATAAAGCAGGAACTTAGAGTCATTTAAAAATACATAATTATCCTCTCCATCTGCGAGGTCCTAAGATCCCCCAACTCAGCCTGCTTCAGGGCTGAGGGTCTGGGGACACAGTGGTGAGTGCAACAGCTGCAGGGGTTTCTTTGTTCCACCAAACCAACACCTACCAAGCCAGCCCTTTTGTCTGCGAGGTCCTTGGCCAGCAAGTGGCTCTGATCCAGTAGCAGGAGATCCATCCAGAGGGTTTAGTGTGTGCCCGCCCGGCCAGCCAGACATCCCAGAAATGGAGTACAGGCACTCTCCAATCCCCTAAACTTTCTGCCCATTCAGCGGGGCTTCTCCCTGGCTACAGGCTTTCTCCACTTATCCCATTCCAGCTTGCCCCCAAGCACTCCTTTCCATCTGCAGAGTCCTAGGATCTCCCAACTCAGCCTGTCTGGTGATGAGGGTCTGGGGACACAGTGGTGTATGCAATGGCTGCAGAGGTTTCTTTGTTCCACCAAGCCAGCACCTACCAAGCCTGCCCTTTTGTCTGAGAAGTCCTTGGCTAGCAAGTGGCCCTGATCCTGATCCAGTACCAGGAGATCCATCCGGAGGGGTAAGTGTGTTTCTGCCAGGCTGGCCAGACACCCGGGGAAAGGAATACAGGCAACCTCCAAACCCCGAAACTTTTTGGCCATTCAGCGGGGCTTCTTCCCAGCTTCTGGCTTTCTCTATTTTTCCTATGCCATCTTGGCCCCAATCACTCCTTTCCTTAGATCCACCACCACACAGCCTGCTTAAGGGAGGAGGGGATCTGAGAGCCAACTCCAATGCTGAGGGGACATAAGAGAGGGCAGAACAAGAAAAATCCCTAAGTACACAGTTAGCCACAGAAAAGATTGAACCAAGCCGCCGAGACTCTCCTGACCACATTTGAAGAAAGAGACAGGCAGGCACCAATGCAAGAATCCCTCCATCAACCTGAAAAGCAACGATAACACCAGAATCCAGTGAACATGCAACAGGAAGACTTGAACACCCTAATCCAGAAGAAGTAGAAAAATATCAACTGTAAGCACAACATTATAGAAGTGATAGAGACCCTAAAACAGAATGTGAAAAACTCCTTTAAAGAAATGGATGCGAAGACTAACAAAAAGTTAGAAGAAATGAATAAATTCCTCAAAGATACCCTAGAAAACCAAGGAAAAGCAATCAAACAGATAATGGAAACAGTTCAAGACTTGAAAACTGAAATGGAGGCAATGAAGAAAACACAAACCGAGGAATGGCTGGATGTGGAAAATCTGGGTAAATGAACAGGAACTACAGAGACAAATATAACCCACTAAATATAAGAGATAAAAGAAAGAATCTCAGACGCTGAAGATACTATAGAGGAAATAAACTCATTGATCAAAGAAAACAGTATATCCAATAAATTCTCAACACAAAACACCCAGGAAATCTGGGACGCCATGAAAAGACCAAACCTAATAATAACAGGGGTAGAAGAAGGAGAAAAATTACAGCTCAAAGGCCCATAAAATATATTCAACAAAATTATAGAAGAAAACTTTCCCAATCTAAATAAGGATATTCCTATGAAGGTACAAGAAGCATACAGAACACCAAATAGACTGGACCAAAAAAAAAAAACATCCCCTACCCATATAATAATCAAAACACAAAACATACAGAATAAAGAAAGAATATAAAGAGCTGCAAAGGAAAAAGTGAAAAAAGTTCAAGTAACATATAAAGGTAAACCTATCAGAATTAAACCTGACTTCTCCATGGAAACCATGAAAGCCAGAAGGTCATGGATAGATGTGCTGCAGACACTAAGAGACCATGGATGCAAGCCCAGACTACTATACCCAGCAAAGCTTTCTTTCACCATCAAAGGAGAAAACAAGATATTCCAGGATAAAACAGATTTAAACAATATGTCACCATAAACCCAGCCTTACAGAAAGTACTAGAAGGAAAACCACAAACCAAGGAAGCCAACAACACCCATAATAACACAGACACATCTAACAACCCTCCACCAGCACAACTCAAAGAAGGGAAACACACAAAACATTACCACCAAAAAAAAATAATAACTGGAGTTAACAACCACTGGTCATTAATATCACTTAATATGAATGGACTCAATTCACCTATAAAAAGGCACAGGTTAAGAGAATGAATGCAAAAAA